CTGCAATGCTTGACGGCGTAAGCAGCGTCAATGCGCACAGCGACGATGTGCTTTCTAGCATTGTTGGTACGCGATTCCGTATTCCGTCTATCCTTGAAGTCATTGTCTCCAATTTCCCTGGGATTTTATCCTCTTCTAATGTCGTGGGAACGCAGATCATCTTCCTTTTGTATAGAAAGATTTGGGAAGGATGCGTCGCGTCACTGAAGTGCATGTATTGACAGTCACACCGCAGCATATCACTTTTGAATGTTCGCATGCGTTCATTTACCAGTGCCTCTCATGGCATAACCTGACAGATATCAGGTATTTTAAATAGTTGGTTTCCTTCATTAGTTTGAACAGGACAAGAAGAGGACGAACACTGGTATGTGTCAGCATTTCGTATCGTTTTCTCAATATCATAAGCCTAATCCATTTCAGGGTTGTGGTCAGTGGTGTTGGCATCAAGACCACGGCAACTGCAGCTTGACAACTAGTTGTCTTTGGACACAAAGCTGGTCTAATCCGGCTTATTGGGGCGGCTTCGGCAAATCACATCATCATCATTATACACGTTAGCTAGAGGTGTAAAAACACCTCAGCTACTGTGCCGCAATACATAAAAGAAAAAAGGGGAAATGCAACAGGTGCAAGTTATTTGAAATACCGGTAAGCTACCAGCCGGCTACGATGCAGCAAAAAAATTAGCTATTCAAATTTATATAGAGCTAATTAGTGGGATCGTGGTTGGAGGGGAGAAACTAAGAGGGATGGGGTGGGACAAAGAAACTCACAGCACGAACGCCATTGACGTCGGCTCCTAGCCATGTCAACAAGTGTATCCAGCCAAACGTGTTCATCGTCTTTCGGACCCCATCTAGGGAGCCGAGACGCTCCAACCGAAGCCAGCTTCGAATTGAGTGCTTACGTTTCTCTCGACCAAGTCATGGCTTGGCTACCCCTCCTTCCATCCACACCCCCGGCGAGCAAACAACACACGTCGGGGGAGTCGGTGGGCTGGCATGCGTAACACTTCGCCGAGCCATCGGAGCCTGGTGCGTGAAATAACGGTACTGAGCAATTCATTTTCTGTTCTTGTGCCGTAAACAAGGCGTCGAACACGCTCGTTGCTTACTCGGTGTTCCAACCAGATGTGAGCCAAATTGCCAAGACACCGGTAGTCGAACATAACCAGCCTCTTTATGTCCGCTAATCTAAGGGGCCGGGTTTCACAACCGTACAGTACGGTCGAACGTACTGCTGCATTGTACACTCTACCCTTCAGGGCGAGAGGCATGTCGCGCCGCCATAGATGGCGGTTAGCAAAAGCACTTCGAGCTTTTGCTATACGGTTCGTGTTCTCATCTTCAATCCCGCGGGCGCTGATACAACTTCCCAGGTGGCTGAATTTGTGAGCTGTCACAGATTAGGGAAATATCCTCAGCATACTCCAAGTCGGCAAATCGCAAATGTGTGAATTCGTATGACTCAACAAAATTCGAAAAGCCGATAAAGGATTAGTTTGATGATAGATCGCCAAGGTAAGCTTCAGTTGTAGTTTACGTGACCTGGAATTTTTATAGACCAGACCAGCGTTGACCGATAGTGCTTTTCTACATTCTGTCCAAATCGAGTATTCATCCTGCAACTCAAAGAAACTGCAGCTTGTCTGGGCGTTATGTAGCAAAGTACCAATTTCGACGGGCTGTTAGAAAAGGTCGTATTTGTCTAAGGTGGCCATATGTCCCGATTTAGGCGGGACAGTCCCGCATTTCAAGCTGTCATCCCGTTTTCTTAGAAATGCTGGACGGGACGCACTAATGTCCCGCTTGGATGTCGGAGACCTCGGAAGGTCCCGCTTTGGGCATGTAGAATGTAGGTGATAAAACTAAAACCAACCATGAGACCAAGTGGACGGGCTAATCTACTGCATGGGTGGACAACATGGTGAAGATAAATTTTACGACAATCTAAAAAAGAGAAGCGATGATGAAATGTTTGGGTCTGGTGGAGAACGTCTGCGCTAAATACAGTTTTGTGGGAAAATCTTGTCTAAACGATCTTGAAAGATGACTGCTTAATTGAAGCGCGATTAAGAAGGCAACACCTGACGACTATTCGCATGTTCGATATGTCTCCTGCAAATCCGAAGTTTCTATTGCTCACGGTAGCAGATCAAATATCGCAAAGCATCTGAAATCGGATCGCCATAAGGTAGCGGTGTCTGCGGCAGCATCTTCTGCCCCTGTAACCAATTATTTCCGATCAGCAACATTTGGAAACACAGAAGCCAAGTTAGCAGCCGCAGAAGGTACCTTCGCTTATCACGCTGTATTTCATAACCACAGTTTCCGCTCCATGAATTGCACCAGCAAGTTCGTAGAGAAATTGTTTGAGCCGAAGTTTGCTTGTGCCCGCACAAAATATGAGATAATAGTATTTGTAAGTAGTAGGGGGATTTATTAGGTTTCGTGTAGATTCGTCGCAGTTAGACAGGCAGACAGTCACCACACTTCCAGCAAAGCGCTAGACGGCCGTTTCGTCCTGTTGGGACTCGTGCGCTCTACTGACGAGATAATAGTAAATTCTTTCATGTTCCAATTTGCCAGCGACCAACTTCAAGAAAAATTTAAGGAAGCTAAATTTGTGTCACTATACACTGATGCCTGAAACCATTGGTAAGTAAAGATGTTCCCGCTCCTTGTGAGCTATTTTATGCCGTCCTCGGATATTGAAGTTATTAGGTCTTCAGTCACTTACTGATGACACATCGGACATTATTTGTAAATTTGTTCAGTATGTGTTGGAACAAAAAATATGACCAGAAAAACCGTGGCATTTTGTGCTGGCAACGCCAACACAAATTTCGGTGGCGTCCGGAGAGGAGGACAAAACAACATATTTGCAAAATTGAAATCTTCGAATAGAGAAAAACCTGTGAGAATTAGTTGGTGTCCACATTGTCCACAACACATTGCAAACGGCTGCTGATTGTCTTCCTATTGGTGTTAAAACAGTGGTAGTGAAAATATATTCTTACTTTCACATTTACACTATTTATGTTGAGGAGCTAATGGAATTCTGTGACTGCGATGGTAGAGTACCAACTCATTTTAGGATACGAGAAAACCTGATAGCCTTTACTTATGCCAGCAGTGGAGACATTCCTGAAGCTCTTTTCAGTGTTAAAACCCTTTTTGTCTCGTCAGACAGTCTCATCAAACAGTATTAGTTTCTTCAAAAATCCCTGCACTTAGCCGTAACTCTTCTTTATGCACATTGCCATTTTCACGCTGCTTTACAATTGAGGAACAAACTATTTCAGCACTGGAAGTATCGTCCGCAATATACAAACTGCTGCAGAACTGCGGGAACAGGAGCAGCAACAGCTTTGTTCTAGGCGAGGTAGGGATTGAAAATGGCCAACAAGAACAAACGGGTGTCATCAAAAATACGGATATGATAAATATTATCATCAGCTTCTACGACAATTGCGTGGATTATCTACAGTAAAGAATCAACCAAGTTCAAGAACTGAGTAGCTGCAGTTAGGTGGCGTTGAAACATCCACCGTCCTGGGGGAAAATTGAAGCAGTTGTCAGTCTTCAGACCTGAAACTCAATAACAACGAGCTGTTTGACGAAGTTAACAACGTATGTAAGTTTGCATCAGCCAACAAAATTTCCGATTGGAACTGTAAACAAATAAAAGTTGACATGCGTCGGGTAGGATTGTATTCCCATTTCCAGTAGCTGAGGTGTTTCCCACCTCTAGCTGACGTGTATAATGATGAGGATGAGGCTAACTCGGACCCATGCGAAAAAAATACGAACACTTATTGAATTTATTCTCTGTCTCCCTGGGACTAAGGTGCCTACTGACAAAATCTCACACATGAACACGCGAGAAAATGCAGCTAGCGTTCAAACACTGCAAGCGATATTTTTGATGAAACGCAATTTTGAGGACAAGAGCGCCAAATTCACGCCATGCTGATGCAGCGCCAAGATCTACTACGTACAATACATTCATTTGGGATGTATTACTTTACAGCTGTGGTTCCAGATGATACAAGCAACAAATCAACTTCAGTAGAGCAGCCATTATGCTGACTGATGACGTACTTGTTTATTATTACAGTGAACTAATACATGTAGATATTTAACTTTTCAGTTTTTTGTACGGTCTGCATTTGCTGAAACGACGCGGGTAGCTTAAGCGTCCCACCTTCGCCTCAAAGTATCCGGAAGTTGCCCGCGAAAATTCTGGCTACCTATTTATCACTCGTGCGATTTCATGTGAATTGATTGATGTTTGTGTCCATGTGTACTATGTATTTACCACATAGTGGCTTTGCACAGCCTTTAGCGCTCACACATCTTCTCGAAGGACCTTGTACAGTTCCGTTCAGAGGATGCGTTAATGTTCTGCCCACTTGTTCATTTTCTCTCTCTCTCTCTCTCAGTGTTGACACTTGATTGACCTCCATTTCACGATCGTACGTCTACTTCAGCTTGTCCGCTTCCTTGCTATCCGTTTGTTACGAAACTCTAACTTTTGTGGCTTTTTCAGCCCACACCTGCTCGCCACTCTCTTGGACGCATTCTACCTTGATAAAGTACGATGGATGTGGCCCAGTCTGAGGTTCGAACTGTGCGGGTGTCCGATGCCATCGCAGTGGAATGTCAGAGACTTTTACATAACTTTTTAGAAACGTGAGACAGTTTGTTTAAATATTTCGTAGGTTTAAAGAAAACGATTCCTTGAAATACGTTGAACGTGCCAAGGAGCTCAAACAGCTCGAAAGAAGCACATTGACCGTTGAATTCACTGATATCATACTAGCGGACTCCAGACTTTCGGTCCTTATTCAGGATGAGTATTACAGGTAACATCTCTGGCTCGCTGTCGCATTCTTAGATCGTATCCAGAGATGTGTCTTGCTGTCAAAAACTTCGTAAATGATCACGTTCCTGATACACAAGACTCTGGTCGTGATTTCTATTTAGCCTTCTCTGATGTCCCGGCACTTCACAGGTGAGCTGTTTCTTGATGACGTTGTCTGCAGAGTGCGGGAGTTGACGGCTAGTCAAATCGGACGTTTACTCAGAATACGTGCGCAAGTCGTTCGGTCTCATCCAGTTCACCCGGAGTTGCTCCTCGGCACGTTTCGTTGCATGGAGTGTAAAATGGTTATCCGTAACGTGGAGCAATCTTTCAAGTACACACAGGTAATGTACACCATTGGTTTACATTCACGCCCGTTATAGCCATCAGTTTGCTTCAACCCTCAATGTGGCAATCGTACCCGATTCGATTTATTGACAAGCGAGTCCAAGTTTGTGGATTTCCAAAAAGTACGCGCGCAAGAAACCCAATCCGAGTTGCCGAGGGGCAGTATTCCCCGCAAGTAAGAGCCTACTTTTTGTTGTCCCCTCACTTTTAGTCTTATGCTTCCCTTTAAATTCACCTTTTCCTCACATTACTGGTGTCGTAACTAAACTTGCCGACTTGCTTGTTTTGGTTTAATTCTGGTCAGAGGAGTTAACCGGCCGCTCATCATATCAGCTGGTCAGCGAATCGTCATTTGTGACCAAAAGTCATGCTACATTCTGCAATTTCCCATCAATTCGTTGCACCGAACCTCAGTGGATCCGGTTACCTTCTGACCCAAATTTTAATGATAATAACCGTTTTACAACATAGGGGGGTGGAAGCGAAACTACACAAATGTAAATAAAAATTCAAGAGATAGGTCAACAGCTTATGGCAATGTCTCGAGAGTATGGTCACCATTGATTGCTGAGCTGTCGCTTATCCACCACTTCCTTTATAAACTCACAAGGGCAAGATATAGCCTCTTAGTTTGTCTGTACCACTTATTCTCTACAATTCCTTGTAGCACTTTTGGGGGCATAATTCGGTCCTTTAGAAGGAATTGTATAAGCTCTCGATATGCAACCTCATTGGTAAAACCAGAGCGACCGACTCTGGCTAATCTCTCATCAGTGCTTCCAATAGAGGTGTTCAGGCACGCATGGCAACTAGTTAGACCGACGCTTATCACCAGTTCTACGTATTCCCACGAATTAGGTTCCAGTCGCCTGTGCTCCAACAAGCTGCTGATTCAGAATTGGACAATGCTGTCCGTTTTTTATTTGCCTAGGTCATGGCATGCAATGCAACTTGAGCATATCTCGTCTGCGACTAGGTGCACGAAATGTAGTCAATCTTCATGGGCAATCCAGTTGACGTATTTGCTCCCACATTCATAGTGAGGAGATAAACGAATGGGCGCTAACACAATAATTTCATGATTTAATGCCAGTAAGCTAGTTTGGTGGCATAATGGCCCTTCTTTCTAGGTCCCCATCTATGCAATTTAACCGAAAGCCTAGTGAATATTTTTTTTCAAATTCACACATCTGTGTTTCAAACAAAACCAGCAATGAATTATTGATTGTTTAGGCTATCTTTTCTCGCTTTGTCAGGTAGCGTAAGAGTAACTGTGTCTGCCAGCAACCTGTACGTCCTTGGTTCGAAAACCTATTCGACAGTCCTTACTTGAATAATGTAACCGAACAGGAATCCGGCCAGGGACTACGGAGTTTTTAGCAGACAACATGCAGATTCCTTTACTTTCGAAACTTTCGTTGCTCCTGGTGCCAAATTACATCATCTTTTTTATATCTTCGTTTGAGTTTTTCCAATTGGTAATTCCATTTGGAGCTGATAATTGAACTTGCTTGCTGTCGATGGATGCTTTCCTCTCTGGGATACCGGGTTCTGTTGGAACCTGTTGTCGCTACGTTGCCATCATGCCACATCCCTTACGTAACAATTTTACACAAGACCAACTTTATTCTGAAGTGTTCACTGTGTCTGAATTGTAGCGCTGTAAATAAATAAATAAAATATATCGTCAGCTGTATGCCGTAACTACGCTTCGTTGCCACGCGACCACCATCAGTCGCGCGTCGACTGAGTATACCGCGAGGACGCCCGCCCATACACGGATTCGAACCGATGACCTTCTGGTTGCAAACGAGGCGCGCAAACCACTCGGCCACACTGTCCTATTGCAGTGAACTGCTATAACGGTTAAATGCGCGAGATTTATGGGTGCTGAAATATATGGATCATAGAAACCGTTCTCATGAACACAGCTGCACACTGGTTTATCTACATACAAGCGCATCATAGGCTCTCCCGCATATATATATATATATATATATATATATATATATCAGGGAATCGAAGGCGGTTGATCGTGTTTCATGGCGCGATCTAATCACGAAGGCAGTTGCTGAAGTGCGGGAGAAAGCCCTCATGCATGCAGAGAAGAAGCGGCAAGTGCGGAAGCGGCAAGCACCAATGAATTGTACTCCATCGACATCGAGCGCATGGTGCTGTAGAACATGCGGTCGCGAGTGCCTTAGTCAGGCAGGCCTAGTGAGCCATGAGAGAGGTCACTCGGGACCACTGCCGAAGCGCCGACGGGTCCAGCAGTGAACGTAGGCAGCACCGGCGCAGCGTTTGTAGGCACGCTGAATTCGATTTACTAACCGCATGCTTGCATGCTAAATTTCTTTATTTCAGGTGGTTGGTTTGCGATTCTCTCCTAATGCCTTTCTTTCTCATATAAATGTCTAGTGGGCCATGAGCTGTGCCATTTGGGGCCACTACAGAAGCGACCACGGGTCCTGCAGAGAATTACGGCGAGCCGGCGCAGCGTTTGTAGGCACGCTGAATTCGATTTACTAACCGCGTGCTTGCATGCTAAGTCTCTTTATTTCAGGTGGTGGGTTTACAGGTTGTGCCTTAATGCTTTTCTTTCTCATATAAATGTCTACCAGTACTCTATTCCATTAACTTGCACACCTCGCCTAAGCCAATTGTATTCGATTTCCGTAGCATATTTGTGTTCGTGGCATTCCGTGAACCATATTTCCTGACCTCGTGCACTTAGCTAGGATTTGTTTGTAAACAACTTATTACATATGCTATTTAATTAAGGTTTATATCACCGTTTCCTTATGCATTAATCGAGTTTTTCTCTTTTTCTCTCTCTCTCTCTCTCTCAAGTGTTTGGCTGTTGTTTGATATCCCCGGTGTGGATGCGCTTGATGTGCATGTTGACAAGGTGCCTACCTGTCTATTACCCACTACGTCGTTCATACTGGCTCCAGGAGACAGTTGGTCGTTGCTGGAGGGGACGGGGTGCACGGTCCTTGTGGCCGTGCTAAGCTCAAAGAGCGGTTCCATGCAGTCAGTGTGGAGCGGACTACGGTCCAGCCACCACCTTGTGTGCGCTTGATTCCCAAATACAGTGTGCTTGTGTTTGCCTGTGAAGGAGTGTGGGCCGGCTCCGTTGATGAAACGTGGTTCCCATCCGCATGCCTCCCGGTCTTATTCCTTCGGGTTTACACTGGATAGGGGTATGTGGTTGGAGCTGTGGGTGGTGCAGCGCAAGCCATCCATGGTCCCTCTGTAGGCGCAGGCGTCCTGTGGCTTGCCACAGTGACAGGCAAATCCGAAACCGGATGCCGCCAACCAGATATATATATATATATATATATATATATATATATATATATATATATATATATATATATATATATGAGAAGACGAAAGCTGGCAGATGTTAACATTTTGTATTGTTGGTTTTCGTTGTATTATCTTACCTTGGCGCCTGAGTCTGAACATTAACAAGCTTAGATCGCAATGGCCCCACTGAAGTCTCGCCGTATTCGGCAAGGTAAGCGTAGTGTATTTTCCACGCCACCAACAAAGCGAATAAAATGCGAGGCCCCAAAAGAAAATCGAATCTCTTCTTCGACTAATAGTAACCTCATCGCAAACTAAGTGATACATTGCTCTCTTTGGAATCACAACTTAATGTGATGAAAAAATCGCTGGCTTTCGTTGAACCGCTTAAAGGTCACCTGCTTACGCTTGACTACATCAAAACCCATTGGAAAAGATTGATCCTGTTCTAATGGGAAAAGCAAGGCAGTTAATTGCCTCTGAACTGCACGAACGAATATGTAGAGCAAGAAATGTGATTGTTTCTAATTTTCCGGACTGGTTGGATTTGGAAAAAGTAAAACTAACGATACTGAAAGCTTGTACTATATCTGGCGTTGACTGCAAATGCCAACGTTTAAAAAAGAGGACACCGAAACGTTGTTGTCCTAGCCTTTTCAAAATTTTGAACGAGGAAGTCCCGCAGCGATTCATCCATTGGGGGCCCAACGTGGGCCAGTGCACCTAATTTAATGGCATTTTGAGTAAACCAGATAGGACACCCCTACAAAGGTCCGAAATTGGCACTGTGCCGCGAACACCGAAAAAATAACTAGGCTGTTCGAGAAATCTCAGCCAAACGTCCAAAAGACAAGTGCATCCAAGGTGGATACTAGATGCATTGATTTAGACATCGATAATCTAACAACATTGTCAACTAGCTCCAAAGCCGTCCTTCCTTGCTCCACTGAAACACCCTCTACACAAGGAACGGATAAAGCGGGTTCTCCTATTCCTGACAACAACACTCCCATTATATCGAACTCCTCATGCACAAGGATTAAAGGAAAGTCTAAGTGCTTGGAACAGTGGAGTAATGACAACTCGTTGAATATATCACAACCCGGTCCAAACCAACAAGACACGTCCAAGGATAGACAACCTGATGTAATTCATAGTCCACTGTCGCCCAAGGACGACTTCTCCAATCCAGGGACCTGTGTCTTTAAAAAACGTATGGATACTAAATACTCGGTGGCACCCAAAATTCCCTATCGACCAACCTCCTACAACCACCAGGGCAAACAACCTTCCATGTTGAATAAGACCAATAACAACTGTCTCTTGGCTACGCCTAATTATCATCCTACACTCCACAACAATCACTGGAAGTGCACAGATAATGGAAGGACATCGACCAGTAGGACTATGTTACCACCCGCTCTTTTCCATGTTCCTTCAACCTCTCAAGCGGCTTCTTCCAACAACCATTTTTAGCGGCGACGGGAATGGACTCGCACCCATTCCCATCTCAGATACATCCGGCGGAGGTCAACACCTTTGATCCCACTCTTCCTCCAATTTGTCCAGATGACAAAGCTAGTCCATTATCAAACCAACGGCAACCTAAGCATGATGCCTCGGTTCCCGTCGTGCCCCCAACTGTCTCGATATCCACACATGACATGCTACCCTTATCAACAAACGTTCTAATGGCTAACTCGGGCCTACCATACTCGCACTTACCTACCATGTGCACCATGCTCGAACGTAAAGATTCAGACGATCACACAACGGACAGCGATCATTCCCCAATACTTAGTACATTTTCAGTGATTCTGATTAATGCCATATCCATAATCAACAAACTTCATTTTATAAACA